CATTGTGGACAGGATCAAAAGTTTTAAAAACTCAAGGACAAATCCAGGTCTGCAACATTCCACGGATTAACGAATTAGGCTGGCCATTTCCAATTTCTGGCCTTCCAGATGCAGTCAGCCTTTCACATTTCAGAGCTGAACTTTTCCAGATTTGCTTATTCATGGATTTGATTAATATGTTCTCTCTGGGAATATCTAGGCCCTCCACTGCAACCTTATGGTCAAGTTCCACCAGACACTGACTACAAGAGCCACACTGGAGGATTTAGAGATTCCTAGAGAGAACATGTATCTAGGTATTTGTACATCCCCCCCCCCCCCACAACACACACACACTTCCAACATGTTCCTATGGACAACTTTCAGCAGAAGCATGAGAAGACCAAGAGACTTCTAAAGTAGATACGTAGGGGTTGTTATGCATTTTTTCCCCATTTTTGCAGAGATGCAGCATCCTTTAGGGCCCCTGGTGATGCAGCGGGCTAAACCACTGAGCTCTGAACTTGCTGACCAAAAGGTTGGTGTTTCAAGTCTGGTTAGCAGAGTGAGCTTCTGCTGTTAGCCCCAGCTTCCAACCTAGCAGTTCAAAAACATGCAAATGTGAGTAGATCAATAGGTACTGCTCCAGCGGGAAGGTAACGGCACTTCATGCAGTCATGCAGGCCATGTGACCAAAGATGTCTATGGACAATGCCAGCTCTTCAGCTTAGACATGGAGATGAGCACCACCCCCGAGAGTCGGACACAACTAGACTTAATGTCAGTGGAAATCTTTAACTTTACTTGCATCCTTTATCCCAGAGAATAATCTACATCTAGCATCACACTGGCCATAATACATTTTGGTGCCACAAATCTTAAGACCTGTTTCTGGGTATATTTGACCTGCTGATTCTGAAAATGGCACCAGTTTCCCAATATCAGCACTAGTTTTTGAGATACAGAACATATGCTGTATACCAGACTTAAATTCTCGACTGTAGAAAACCATATCAAAGAAACTAGAGTTGATGCAGTCTATCCGATGCCCCCGGTGGCGCAATGGGTTAAACCCTTGTGCTGGCAGGACTGTTCAGAGGTTCAAATCCAGAGAGAGTGTGGATGAGCTCCCTCTGTCAGCTCCAGCTCCCCATACGGGGACATGAGAGAAGCCTCCCACAAGGATGGTGAAACATCAAAAAACATCCAGGCATCCCCTGGGCAACGACCTTGCAGACAGCAAATTCTCTCACACCAGAAGCGACTTGCAGTTTCCCTGATACACACAAAAGAAATCCGATGCCATTTTCTGCATCAGCACCTCAAACAACTCCAAGAACGGACCTAAAAATCAAGTCACCAAGACTTTATTTTTGGTTAGGCTATGAATGGGGATACTCTCTGACCATCCATCAGTGAAGGTAACCAGACCTATTGAAGGACTTGCTGAGAAGAATTCAGAACCTGGATCATTCTGGCTCTCCTCCAGAGGTTCAGAAGATCTGACATATAAGGGAGCCTCAAGTGCATGAGTTGGAAAAGACACAAGCCTCCAGATATGATGGGACTGCAACTCAAAGCCCAATAATGAGGAGTTCTGCAATTGCAATCCAACAGCATCTGAAGAACCACATGGAACCCATTTCTGCTCCAATGGAAACAGCTCCAAGGGATGTGCAGTTCAAAACACCTGAAGGATAGTGGGCCAGAGAGATTAATCATGTGTATATATGTGTATGAATAAGATAAGAAGAAGTTGCCTGGGACTTTTTAAAACCATTATCTCAAGTTTGCCATTAAAAAGCTGTCCGTCTTCAAAAAAAAATGTTGCTCAATCTGGGAGTTGGGACCCCTAGGTTGTCATGAGAGGGTATCACAGGGGTCACCAAAGACCATCAGAAAACAGTAATTTCTGTTGGTCTGTTTGGGAATTTTGGCCAAATTTTATCACTGGCAGGGTTCAGAATGCTCTTTGATTGTAGGTGAACTGTAAATCCCAGCAACTATAATTCCCAAATTTCAAGATCTATTTTCCACAAATTCCACCAGTGTTCACATTTGGGCATATTGAGCATTTGTGCCAAGTTTGGTCCAGATCCATCATTGTGGCTCTCTCTGGATGTAGGTGAACTACAACTCCTAAACTCAAGGTCAATGCCCACCAAACCCTTCCAGTGTTTTCTGTTCGTCATGGGAGCTCTGTGTGGCAAATTTGGTTCAATTCCATCGTTGGTGGAGTTCAGGATGCTCTTTGATTGTAGGTGAACTACAAATCCCAGCAACTACAACTCCCAAATGACAAAATCAATCCCCCCAGTATTCAAATTTGGGCGTATTGGGTATTTGTACCAAATTTGGTCCAGTGAATGAAAATACATCCTGCATATCAGATATTTACATTATAATTCATAACAGTTATGAAGTGGCAACAAAAATAATGTTATGGTTGGAGGTCACCACAACATGAGGAACTGCATTAAGGGGTTGCACCATTAGGAAAGATGAGAACAGCTGTTCTAAAATCTATGCTTAATGCCATTCCAATGCACCATAGTGTCTCACCACCCTAGGAGGCAGTAGTCCCAATCCACCATTAGGTCCTCATCCACCAGGTAAGTGCATCTGAGAATGTGATAAGCACTATCAACCCCATCACTATCAAAGACATTCTGTGTACTGAAACCAATTGCTAGCTCCAGCTAGAATAAACCCATTGGATCAAAGGCATCGATATATCTTTGAGGGAGAACTTCCCGACTGTGAGAGCCGTTCAGCAGTGGAAACTCTCTGCCCCGGAGTGTGGTGGAGGCTCCTTCTTTGGAAGCTTTTAAACAGAGGCTGGATGGCCATCTGTCAGGGGTGATTTGAATGCAATATTCCTGCTTCTTGGCAAGGGGTTGGACTGGATGGCCCATGAGGTCTCTTCCAACTCTTTGATTCTATGATTCTACTGTACTATATATATTCTATGCCAGTTGATTCTGCTTCCCTCTGTGAGGGATGGAAAGTGTGAGCAGCACTACAAGGTCCTCCTAAACTTTGGACAGAGCAGATCTACCAAGAATCCTGCAAGTTCCCATTCCCACTCTCTCACACACTCTCTGGGAATCCTTTCTCTCCAGCCACACATCACCCACACAGGCAAAGAGAAAAAGCCCGTGTTAGCAAAAGGCAAAAACTGGGAAACAAAGTTCTTTTATTACTGGACAAATTAAAACCGTAAGGCAGCTCCGGGTGGCTTTTGCCAAGCGGTAATTCTGTGCAGGAGCCAGGCATAACATCACACCAGCAAAACCCAAAGGGGGTTGGAAGAGGGATGGAGAAAGGGAAGAGGAGAAGGAGGGAGGAGGTGGAAGAAGGAGAGAAGGAGGTGGAGGATTGCAGAGGGAAAAGAAGAAGTGGAGAAAGAAGGAGGGGAGGAAGAAGAAGATGAGGAAAAGGGGAGAAGAGGGAGAAAGAGAGGAAGAAGAGAAGGAAGGAGATAATGATAAAGAAGGGGAGGAGGGAGGAGAAAGAAATTGGAGAAGAAAGAAGAAAAAGGAGGAGGGAGAAGAGGAAGATGAGGAGGAGCAAGGAGGAAGACTATGAAGAAGAAGAGAGAAAGAAAAGAGGAAGAAGAAGATAATGATGAATAGGAGGAGCAAGGAGAAGAGGAGAAAGGGATGGTGAAGGATGAAGAAGAAAAAGAGGAGGAAGGAGAGAATGATAAAGTAAAGGAGGAGGGGAAAAAGAAATTGGAGAAGAAAGAAGAAAAAGGAGGAGGAGGGAGAAGAGGAAGATGAGGAGGAGCAAGGAGGAAGACTATGAAGGAGGAAGAAGAGAGGAAGAAAAGAGGAAGAAGATAATGATGAATAGAAGGAGCGAGGAGAAAGGGATGGTAAAGGATGAAGAAGAAAAAGAGGAGGAAGAAGAGAATGATAAAGTAAAGGGGGAGGAGGGAAAGAAACTGGAGAAGAAAGAAAAAAAGGAGAAGGAGGGGTGAGGAGAAGAGGAGGGGGAGTATGAAGAGGTTGATAAAGAGGAAGGAGAGAGAGGGAAAAGAGGAAGAAGAGTGGAAGAAGAAGATAAAGATGAATAATATGATATAAAGAGAAGAGAGAAGAGGAAGGAAGGAAGGTGAGAAGGAAGGAAGAGAGGAAGGACGATGGAAGGAGGGAGGAAGAAAGAAAGGAAGAAACGAAGGTGAGAAGGAAGGAAAGAAAAAAGGAAGAAAGGAAAGAAAGAAGGAAGGAAAGAAGGTGAGAAGGAAGGAGGGAAGAAAAAAGGGGCAAGGAAGGAAGGAAGGAAGGAAGGGGGAAGGAAGGAAAAGAGGAAGGAGGAGGGAGAGGAAAGAAGGAAGGAAGGTGAGAAGGAAGGAGGAAGAAAAAGGGAAGGAAGGAAGGAAGGAAGGAAGGAAGGAAAAGGAAGGAAGAGGAAGAAGGAGGAAGAAGAAAGGATGGAAGAAAGGAAGGAAAGAGAAGGAAGGAAGGAAGGAAGAAAGGAAAGAAAGAAGGAAGGAACGAAGGAAGGTGAGAAGGAAGGAGGGAAGAAAGAAGGGGCAAGGAAGGAAGGAAGGAGAGAAGGAAGGGGGAAGGAAGGAAAAGAGGAAGGAAGGAGGGAGGAAGGATGGAAAGAAGGGGCAAGGAAGGAAGGAAGGAAGGAAAGAAGGAGGAAGGAAGGAGAGAGAGGAGGAAGGAAGGAAAAAAGGAAGAAAAAAGGAAAGAAGGAGGAAAGAAAGACAAAAGGAAGCAAGGAAGCAAGGAAGGAAGGAAGGAAAGGGAGAAGGAAGGAAAGGGAGAAGGAAGGAAGGAAAGAAGGAAGGAAGAGGAAAGGAAGGAAGGAGTAGTAGCATCCACTGCGGCCAGTAAAGAAGCAGCCAAGTTTGGAAGGCGGCCCTGCAGCGGTGTCCCTCGTGCCCATCTCCACCTCCCACCCGCGGGAGACCCATGACCTTCCTTCCCCATCCTCTCCTCTTCTTCCTCCGGGGTCGTGGGTGTGAGGGTGTGTGTGTGTGTGTGTGTGTTTCTCCTCGGGGCACTTACTTGGGCGCGGAGAGCCGTCCTGCGGGGCCCCAGCGTGGCGGCGGCGGCGGCGAGGAAGAGGAGCAGGCAGCGGAGCAGCATCCCCACGGGAAGCCTCGGGCCGGCCAGCGGAGCTGCGGATGCCCCGAAAGAAGAAGGCGAAGGAGAAAGGAAGGAAGGAAGGAAAGAAGGAAGGAAGGTAGGGAAGAAAGAAAGAAAGACCGGCGCCCGGCTGGGCTGGACTTGGAGCAGAGGAGGAAGACGCCCGAGCGCTCTGTCCGTCCAGCGCCTGGCCAAGGAGACGGAGAGAAGCCGGATAGGAAGGAGAAGAAGGAGGAGGAAGAAGAAGAGGAGGAGGAGGAGGCGGAGGTTCCAGGAAGCGTCCCTTTGGGAATCAGCCCCAGCGCCCCGACTCCCGCGACCGCCTCCCCTCGAGCTGCCCGCGCCGGCTTCTCGCCTGAGAACCTGCCCGGCTGCTTAATAAAGCCGCCAAAGGAGGAGGAGGAGGAGGAGGAGGAAGAAGAGGAGGAGGAAGGAAGGAAGGAAGGAAAGCCCGCCCCCCTCGGTCGCGCCCCACCCCCCGGAGCAGAGTTGGGGGAGAAGTTTTCCTTTTCGGGTTTTTTTTTAATTAGAAACTTTCCAAGACATTCAGAAGAAATACAGGTTGAGCATCCCTTATCCCGAATTCCGAAGTGCTCCGAATTCCAAAGTTGTCCACATGGTTGTCCTCCTCCTCCTCTCCTTTCCTCCTCCTCTCCTCCTCCTCCTCCTCTTCCTCCTCTTCCTCCTCCTCCTATTTTTCTTCTTCCTCCATCTCTTCTTTTCTCCTCCTCCTCTTCTCCTCCTCTTCTCCCTCCTAGTTCTCCTCTTCTCCCCTTCTTCTCCTTCCCCTTGTCCTTCCTCCTCCTCCTCTTCTTCTTCTTCTTCCCCTCCTCCTTGCCTTTCTTCTTCCTCTTCTTCTTCTTCTTCTTCCCCTCCTCCACTTCATTCCCCTTCTTCTTCCTCCTCCTTCCCTCTTCTTCCCCTTCCTTTTGCTCCTCCTCCTCTTCTTTTTCATTCTTCTTCTCTTCTACTTCTTCCTCCTCCTCCTCTTCTTCACTTCCTTCCCCTCCTTCCTCCTCCTCTTTTTTCTTCTCTCCTCTTTTCTTCCTTTCTCCTCCTCTTCTCCTTCTTCTTCCTCCTCCTCTCTTCTTCTTCCTCCTCTTTTTCTTCCCTCTTCTTTCCCTCTTCTTCCTCCTCCTCTCCCTTCCTCCTTCTTCCTCCTCCTCCTGTTCCCCTCCTCTTCTTCCCCTTCCCTTTCCCTTCCTCTTCTCCTCCTCTTCTTCTTCCTCTCCTCCTCTTTCCCTTTCTTTCTTTCCTTCTCCTTCCCTTCTCTTCCTCCTCCTCTTTCTTCTTCCTCCTCTTCTTTTTCTTCTCCTCCTCCTCCTCTTTCTCCTCTTCTTCCTCCTCCTCTTCTTCTTTCTCTTCCTCCTTCTTCCTCCTTTTCTTCCTCCTCTTCCTCTTCCTTCCCTCCTCTTCTTCTTCTCCTCCTCCTCCTCTTCTTCTCCTTCTTCCTCTTCCCCTTCTCCTTTCCTTTCCTTCTTTTCTTCCTCCTCCTCCTCTTCTTCCTCTTCTTCTCTTCTTCTTCCTCCTCCTCTTCTTCTTCTTCTCCTCTTCTTCCTTTTCTTTTTCATCCTCCTCTCCCTCCTCCTCCTCTTCCTTTGCTTCCTGGTGGTTCAATCTAAACAAACTTTGCTTCATGTACAAAACTATTACAAATATTGTGTGTAAAACAGCCAGGCTTTGCATGTAAGGTGTCTATGAGATGGAAATGAATGTTAGTTTACAGTTGGGTACCATATACAAGCTACATCCTGTGTGCTTGCAAATATTTCAAAATGGAGGGGGGATTGGAAATACAGAACCCATTTGAGATAAGGGAGGCTAAAGGAGAAAGATAAGGCAACTAGGCTAACCCCCCCCCCCCCCCCCCCCCACACACACACACACACACACAAAGGCATTTATATTTACTTCCAATTTATTTCCTCTGTGCCTGTGGTCACATGTGCCTTCAAGTGAATCAACAGTGTGATGTGGTGCCTTTAAAAACTGGTGCAATTCTATGCTGCAGATGTCTAATTTGGTGGAAAGAATTGTCTCGCCCTATTCTGGGCACAAAGGTTCTCAAAGTATATCAACAAGCTGCAACGGGTCCAGAGAAGAGTGACCAAACTGGTGAAAAGTCTGGAAACCAAGCCATCTATCGTTGATGGGGTTTAGAATGCTCTTTGATTGTAGGTGGACTATACATCCCAACAACTACAACTCCCAAATGACAAAATCAATCGCCCCAACCTCACCTGTATTCAAATTTGGGTGTATCATGTATTTGTGCCAAATTTGGTCCAGGGAATGAAAATACATCCTGTATATCAGATACAAGGGTTGGAACTTTAATAGTGGCAACTATTTATTTGCATATAATACAAAAGTGATACATGCCACCAATTTTTACAGTCCTTCAATATAGTCACCAGCATTGTGTACAACCCATTTCCAACGATGTGAAAGTCATAAGACACCTGTTGCAGCGCCTGTTCTGTTGATAGTTTGAATGGAGCGGTCTCCTGCCGCAAGAATCTCTGGAACAGTTCTGAAGCGAATGCCACAAAGTGGTTCCTTTATCTTAGGAATTAAGTCAAAGTCACAAGGGCTTAAGTCTGGGGAGTATAGTGGATGGTACAGCACTTCCTAGCCCCATTGATCGAGCAAATCAGCCACAGCTTGTACTGCATGTGGCCGAGCATTGTCGTGCAAAATGATCGGGACGTTCTGCAGAAAGTGTTGCTGTTTTTTTCCTCAAAGCTGGTCTGAGATGGTGTTCCAAAAATGAGCAGTAATACTGAGAGGAGACATGATAGCCCTCATATAAATACATGAGAGGAAGTCATAGAGAGGAGGGAGCAAGCTTGTTTTCTGTTTTCTGCTGGAGACTTGGATGCGGAGCTATGGCTTCAAACTACAAGAAAGGAGATTCCATCTGAATGTTCGGAAGAACTTCCTGACTGTGAGAGCTGTTCAGCAGTGGAACTCTCTGCCCCAGTGTGTGTTGGAGGCTCCTTCTTTGGAAGCTTTTAAACAGAAGCTAGATGGCCATCTGTCGGGGGTGCTTTGAATGCAATTTTCCTGCTTCTTGGCAGAATGGGGTTGGACTGGATGGCCCACAAGTTCTCTTTCAACTCTAGGATTCTATGATTCTATGAATTCTGTATTGTTTCAAATTCTCCAAACATCAGCTTGAGTGAATTTCCAGTGATAAGAGATAGCCTCACAATGGGGTTAAGTGATAATAGAGGTCTCAGAGCATATGTAAAGTGCTTTCCTAGCACAAGCAAGAAACTAGAAACATGAGGTCTCTTCCAACTCTATGATTCTATGATTCTATGGGCATTGACGGTCTGATGTAGGGGAATGGTATACGTTATGATGACACCATCACAGTTGTACACGAGAATCGCCATAACTTTCACATTGCTTTCACATAACTTTCACATAGAGATCCCACTAAAGCCAGAGATATATCTCTTGGGAATGTGGGACGTAGATATCTTTAAAGATAAAAATAAGGAAAAACTTTTTACCTTCTTTTCCACAGCCGCAAGAATGGTGTACGCTAAAGTATGGAAACAGGAGGAAATATCTACAAAAGGGGACTGGATTGGGAAAATAATAGACATTAAAAATATGGACGAGCTTACATATTGGTTAAGGCAACATAATGGACGAGCTGTAAACCCAACAGATTGGATGGTATTACAGGAATATATAGAGATAAAAGATTGGTTAAGTTGAATGAAATAAGAGAGATAGACAGAATATAATTTACACTTTCTCTCCAAACATAAAGGGAAGATACGACATGAAAATGAAAAAGGAGAGAAAGAAAGCAAACTTGGACAATGGGTAAAGTAAGAAGAATGGAGGTCACGGTGTAGGCCGTTGTTTGTGGTGGTGTTTTTTTTCTTTTTTTCGTTTTTTGGGTGTATTGACTTTTTGTAAACATCAATTATTGGTTATTATTGGTTATTTTTGTCTATATGTTGATTTTATTCTCAGTGTGTGTTGAAAATCAATAGATATTATTAAAAAAAACAACCTTTCACATTGCTGGAGTTTTGACAAAATTTTGAACTTTGTGGTGACCCATAATGACACTATTTGTTTGATTGGCATTTCGGTTCTGGCTGATACGATCTGGCCCAAGTCTCATCCAGCGTAATGATACGGCATAAGAAAGCCTCTCCTTTGCGCTCATAGCGCTCCAAGTGGTATGAGCAGCATCGTATTGTAGCCATTTCTGCATTTCCATCAAATGATGTGGAACTCATCATGAAGCAATTTTTCTCATGCCCAGGCATTCCTTCCGAATGTGGAGCAGTCGTATGTGCAAATCCTGTGTTTCGGGCCAGCTCACAAATCGCATGGCGTCGATCTACAAGTGCGGCGACAGCATTCACTTCCACTTTGCTGACACTGGGACAACCTGGCGGATGCATGTCTGCCACATTTTGGTGTCCTTAGTTGAAGGCTTTCACCCAACTTGCCACCGTTCTGTAAGGCAGTGCAGATTCCCTGCAAGCCTCTTGAAGACCTGGATGACACTGTCGTGCTGTACGACCTCTGGCACATTCAGTCTTTATCCAACTCCGTTGTTCTTGTTTTGAAAACATCGCAACAACAATTACTTTAGACCACAATCTAATATGAGGCTCAGTTCTCCATGTCACTCTGTATGCACGTGATGTAGGAGGGGCGAGTCTTTTTGCTCAGAGGTAAGGTTAGTATGTAACTAACGTGTGGTATACACAACATTCTTTGGTTTCATTGTGTGGCATCTTTACAGCAATGTTGCCACAATTAAAGTTCCAATCCTTGTATTTACATGACGATTCATAACAGTAGCAAAATTACAGTTATGAAGTAGCAACGAAAATAATATTATGGATGGGGGTCACCACAACATGAGGAACTGTATTAAGGGGTCGTGGCATTAGGAAGGTTGAGAAATACTGCTCTAGAGGCTTGTAAACAGAGGTAGGATGACTGTCTGTCAGGAGTACTTGATTTTGTATTCCTGCAGCACAGGATATAGTTGGATTGGATGGTGCTTGCGTCTTTTCCAACTCTGTGATGCTGTGATTGCCTCTCAATTCATGGTGCCCTTCTGCTTTTCATAGGTTTTCTTCTGCAAGGCATACTCAAATATGTTAGTTCCTTCCTCTGGAATCTATCCTTTAAAAAAAAATGCCACCAGTATTTTTTTTTCTGTATCAAAGCAGAGAATGTGTCAGTTTTAACAACCATTCTTCCCTCTTTGGATTCTTCCAGCTTTGTGCATACGACAGCCTTGCTGCTGTGGGCATATATTGAAATTGCAAGTCTGTATTACAGCTGGTCAAGCTTAAACCTGGAAAACAAAAAAAAAGTTCTGCTTTTTAATGAAAT